CAGCAGCATAAGCTTATTCCTTTTCATGAAAGGCTCTAGAAAAGAAGGTCTTTGGCCTGTTAGCAGTCTGTCAAAAATTTTATGGCCTATATCTAAAGTGAAAATTTGATGATATTTATAATGCTGTTAGAACCATAAATAAGGTCTGGGAGTTATTTTGAATACAAAGAACCACTTACATACGAGGTAGAGAAAACGAGGTATACAAAATATAATAACAAATACGTATGTAAGATGCTGCCACAGTAGTTCTTTCAAATTATTGGTTTTATTCCTCAGTCTTAATATCTCCAGACTTTAACATGGTACCAGGAAAAAAAAAAGTACATATTTATTTATTCAATCAAAAAATATTATTACGTATCTAGTACTATATCAGACTCTGGGGATAGGAGATGAATTCGAATCCCTTACCATCAAGGGATCTATTAGTCAGAGCTGTTCTCCAGAGAAATAGAAACAATAAAATTTACTTATTTGTTTGTTTTTTATGGGAATTGGCACATATCTTATGGAAGCCAAGAGGTCCCATGATCTGCCCTGTGCAAGCTGTAGAGCCAGGAAAGCCAGTGGTGTAATTCAGTCCGAGTCTGAAGGGCTGAGAACCAGGGAGACAGCAATGCCTGAGAGCAAGGCAAGATGGACGTCCTAGCTCAAGAGAGCACATTGGTCCCTCCCCCTCCTTTTTGTTATATTTGAATCCTAAAGGGATGGGATGATGTCCGCCCACACTGGTGAGGGCCATCTTCAACTGCTTCAAAGACTAATCTCTTCTGGACACACTGTCACAAACATAACTAGAAATAATGTTTTACTAGTTAGCTAAATATTTAAAATAATGGGAAATATGGCTCTAGTTTGCATTGTAGCAGAGTTTTAGGAACAGTCTACTGATGCCAGGAGAGACAGGTGTCCATAATGGTAATTGCTGAAATGTCATTCTGAACAGGTAAAAATTTATTTATTTATTTATTTATTTTATTGGTTATGAACATTCATGAGATACAAAGCTGCTTGTCACCCCTTTTGCCCAAGATGTGAAGGCCAGATCCATACTGGCAGCATGCCCATTACTACAAATTGCAATTGTACCCCGTGTCCCTCACGCAATTATCCCCAACCTCTCTCCACCTTCTCCTTTCCACCACTCCACTTTGTATCCCTAGGTATGTTCTTTCCCTCTGCAAGTCCAATACTCCACTGTGGTCTTTCTTTCCTTCCTTCTTTCTCTCTTAGCTCCAACTTATGAGTGAGTACATGCAGTATTTACCCCTCTGTGCTTTGCTTATTTCACTCAACATAAGTTTCTCCAGGCTCATTCCTGTTGTTGCAAATGGGAGAATTTCTTTTTTTTTTTTTTTATGGCAGGGTAGTATTATTTCATGGTGTGCATGTACCACAGTTTCCTTATCCAATCATTTATTGACGGACATTTAAGTTGGTTACATGTCTTGGCTACTGTGAACAGAGCTGCAATGAACATGGAAGTGCAGGTGTCCCTTCCACATGATGATTTTCATTCCTCTGGTTTATACCCAGAAGTGGGATTGCTGAATTGTATGGAAGATCTCTCTGTAGTTGTCTGAGGAACCTCCATACTGTTTTCCACAGTGGTTGTACTAATTTACAGTCCCACCAACAGTGCAGGAGTGTTCCCTACTTTCCACATCCTCGCCAGCATTTGTTATTCACTGTCTTTTTTATTATAGCCAGTCTAACTGGGGTGAGGTGATATCTTAATGTGTTTTTAATTTGCATTTACCTGATGACTAGTGATGTTGAGCATTTTTTCATGTATCTGTTGCCCATTTGTATGTCTTCCTTTGAAAAATGTCTATTCAGCTCCTTTGCCCATTTTTTAATTGGGTCATTTGTTATTTTTACTGTGTAATTGCTTATATATTAATTCCTTATTAATTAATATATAAGATAAGATATTAAGAGAGTAAGATATTAATTCCTTTTCAGATGCACAGTTAGCAAAAATTTTCTCCCAGTCTGTAGGTTATTTCACTCTATTGTTTCCTTTGCTGTGAAAAAGCTTTTTGGTTTGATGTAGTCCCATTTTCTTTTGTTGCTTGTGCTTTTGGGCTCATGTTCATAAAGTCTGTGCCCAGACCTAGTTCGTGAAGTGTTTCACCTATATTTTCCCTCAGGAATTTTAGTCTCAGGTTTTATACTTCAGTCTTTAATCCATTTTGAGTTGATTTTAGTGTATGGTGAGTTGTAAAAATGCAACCCTGGCTTTCAGTTTAAGTCTAAATTGCTCTTTATCAACAAATTTCTATAACTAACACCTCATTCTGTTTTTTCCTATCTGCCCTTTAACATAAAGCCTCTGGCATGAAAGTCAGGGGCTGTGTGCCTAAGGTTTGTTTTCAGGATCTTTGAAGGTAGCTTGGCCCAATCCAAACCGGGCTAGAATGCCTGAGCCTGCAAACACCTCTACTGAGCAGGTGCAAATGGTCAACCTTTGACGTCGGAGAGGGAGAGCTCCACCTCCAGACACGGCCATCCTCTGAACATGCAGAAGGCTGAGCAGGCCCTGATCACTGAAGAACTCCTTCAAGCCCTTTAACCAGTTGTGATCCCCAGTGCCCCACACGGCCTCTAACCACTTCCCCATAAGTGTACCAACTTCCTCATTGTAGGGAAGGCAGATCTGAGATGCTAATCTGCCTTCTCCCAATCTCCTGCGCCTTGTTATTAAACTTTCTTTCTCTACCTCAAAGACCCGTGCTTGGGTGATTGACTTTCCCTGGCGTGCAGGCAGATGGATCCCTCTTGATTCAGTAGCAAAAATAAAGTCTGGTGAGTCTGAGAGATAAACCCTGTGGTAAATACCTAGAAAATATGAGCAAAACATCTACCCTTGAGAAAAAAAATGTAGATAGTCTAGATTTGATTTTATAGATTTATTGGCTATTGTATTAACGTGTTAGGTATCTCTTCTCTTTCTCAACAGATGGTACTCGTAGGAAATACATAATATATTAGCAATTACAATAAGTTAGCATTTAATAAATAATTGCTATGGGCAGGTACTCTAATAATAACTTATATAAAAGTTTTAAATAAGATGTTCATTTATTCTACGCGTAAAATATAGAAAAACGTAAATGATAATGGATTGAGGGGAGGGAGATGTTCCATTTCGTAAATGTCCTAAATATTATCCATTGAAGGCAGTGATTATGTATCAATCCTGTTTCCCTACTATCTAGTAAAATGTTTGAATCATAGTAGATAATAAATACCTGCTGAATAAACTGAAATCTTAATTTTTCAAAAAATAATTTAAAGGATTTAACGGTAAAAGTAAAAATAGGAAGTTACCCCACACAAATATTTTTAAATTGTGATGCTGATTATGAAACCTAAGGGTAGGTCTTATATTTAAGTCTTTCAATAATTTAAAGGAAGATGATGAAGAAAAGGAGTACAAAGAAAAAGATCTTGAAACCAATGCATGGATCCAAAATTATAATAGGAACTTAAATGGAGCTTTTTTCATTTGCTTATTTCCAGACACCGAGTGATTTAAGCATGCCAAAGGGAAACATATTCAGTCATGTCCGGACTAAATGATATTAGACTCTTAAAAGTTCTGCCACTTTAAGTGGCACTAGTATTCTTTCCTAATTGTGCACACATATACAAAAATGTCACTCTTTTCTTCTTCTTCCAATGTACTTTATTTCCTTCCTTCATTCTTTCACCTGCCATCTTTGTAAATTGGCAGGTTTCAGGAGTTTTAATGAAATTCTTATATCATTACTCATTCTTATTCTTAATGTCTTCTGGCATCTGCCATATTAGATTACAAAAGGGGAGAAATGTTTCCCTGAACAGTTTAAAAATCTATCCTTTACTTTTTTCTCTATTTTTTTTTTTTCTACAGCTGTGGATTCATCCATATGGCACCTTCTCAAGAATGCAGCCAATTTTCCTGTATCATTGACTAATTTAGAAGTCTTGTGGCTTTTCTTTTTTGAAGTTCCTATATTTCTGAAATCATGTGTTTGGTAATTCCATTTCTGCAGTTCCTATCATTGATCCCTTTAATGAATGCATTGTTTCTAGCTATATAATGAGTCTGGAAACAAGAAAGTATAATTGAATTTGACCAAAAGAAATACAAAAAGGAATCATTGCTGCCTGTCTAAGTGGTTAAATGGTACATATATTTCAGAAATTACTCTGAAATACCTCTGAACCTAAACCAGTAATTGAACCAACTATTCTTTGACTTAATTTCTTCCATAAAGTGGAAAAAGCATGACCATAATAGAAACAGGTTCAATTCAAACTCCATGGCTGAAATTTTATATTTTAAAGGAAATGATCAACCATATGTAAATTCTGCAAAGACTTAGTCTAAAATAGCTTAGCAAGTTTTGCATTTATTTATTTATCTATCTATTTAATTAATTAATTAATTAATTAATTACAGCTGGCCTGTAAGGGATCCAAATCCTCGGTGTTATCATCACCATACTCTAACCAAGTGAGCAACTTTTGAATAGTACATTCACATCAAGATTTTAGAGGTATTGTGTGTTGTAGATTGGGTGGAGGGATGTGTATGGGGGACTCTTATAAGAGTAATTTTGGAAAAAGCTGCCCATATGTTTTTAATACCCCCCATTCCACCCACATCACACGTGGGTCTGCACATCCACACACAGGGAAGACATAGGATAGGTACTGTACATATTTTTCACCTTAAGTCTAGTGAAAGAGTCTTCAACAGGGCCATTCAGAGAGTTTGGTATGTGTCCCAAGTAGCTATAAAACACTAAATTAATGTCTTTCTCCTGCCTGGGAAATCTGCAGCCTAAGGAATGGGCTAGCTAGCAGCTTTGATGGCAATGTAAAGGAGAGTCGCTAATGTGCTAGGGTCAGCCTGAAAAACCTAGAGATGACAAAGCTAACACTGAGTGGAATGATGAGTTTTCTAGGGGCTGCAGAAGGAGGAGGTTACCTCCGAAAGCGAGTGCACTTGCCCCGACTGAGGACGTTGCAGGTGAGAAAACATCAGCCCTGACCTGTGGGGGTGGTAGAAATGATCTCCAAAGTCTCCACGAAAGTGCCAGACCAAAAAAAGGAACTTGAAACATCTTGATTTACAACAGTACTAGCCAAAAAACCAATTCTCTTAAACTCTTTACCTCTCCTCCTCACCTTGTTCCTTGTTACCTGGAAGAGGTTCAGAGCTGCGGCTGACCACGGCACCTGCCCTGGGACAACTGGCTCTAGCCAGAGAACATGCAACAAGCTTTACATCTGATCAAGTTGGAAGCTTTGACAATTACATGGGAGTGGCCATCTTTAGTTATTAAATTAAACTGTTTTTTAAACAAGTTGACCTGGACTGTCTACCAGGGACCCAAAAATTGTGTTGCTGTTCGGGGTCAATGCTATATTCACTTATAAAGTAGTTTAAAGGGATAGTAGGAAACAGAAATAAAATCGCTTTTATGTTTAAATTCCGTTAAGTCTTGTTTGATTAATTCCATTAGGTTTATGGCTTTGATCAAGTTACTTAAATTCTCAATTCCTCATCTTTAAAATTGAGTTAACTATTAAAACTTCATAATATTGGTATGAAAATTCAAGCTTTTTTTAGGAAGTTACAAGAAGCATTATTATTTAAATCACATAACAGTGTGACTGACCGATAATAACAATTATAACAATAGTATCTACTAGACTTTTCTAGCTTAGTTGGACCTTTCACATATAATCAAGATATATTTCACAGTATTCACTGAACATGAAAACAGATACTGCATTTACACTGCTTGACAACAAATATTCATTAAGTGTCCACTTTTCACAAGGTATTCTTTTAAGCAATTTTGCATATATCTTTTTATTTAACATCCAAAAAAGCCCATATAAAGTTATTGGTATTTACAGCATATAATATATAATGCATTTTGTACCATATATTTTCACTATATATTTATATATGTAATGCATTTTAAAGGTTAGAAATGTTAAGAAACTTTCTCAAATCACGGAGCTACTAAGAAGCAAAGCCACAATTTTTATCCTTTTTCTCTATACTACACGACCAGGACATTTTTGCAATATCTCAAGCTCTTAATAATTATTTTTAATGCATGTTCTAAGTGCCTTATAACAAAGGACAGAAAAAAGATGCAACTGTTTTCTGTATATAACAAGGTGAAATAACTTATTTTCATGTGTTGTAAGCATCCCTTATGCCTGTAGAAATATATATATTTTAATACATATGTCAAGGTTCATGAGTCCCCAGCCCCACATGCAGTACTGTGAGTAACCAACAAAAAAAGAAGTATGAGGTTTCTGCTGTTAAGGATTTGGTTTCTTCTTAGGAAGAGAAGATGAGACATAACTGGAAAAAATCAACGATAATCAAATATAAAAATTAGTGACAGGAATAGTGAGTGATAAGAAAAAGCCAAAGAAGTATTTGTCTGAGGCAGAGTTTTAGTGAGAAAGATCAGCAGATGGTGGTTTTGAGGTGGGCTTGAGAAAATGAGAGGGCATCAGAGAGACAGATCGAAAGCAGAGGCTCTTCCAGATGAGGAAAGAGAGAGGTTTAGGTCTGTGATGGCTCCGAGATTTCTCCTTCTGAACCTATTTAAGCTGGAAACACAATATAGCTTAACTGTAAAAACAGTCGTTCCTTGGAATTATTGAGCTAGTAGAATTAGATATTTGACATTATAAAGGACAAACTTTTATCTGAATAAAACTGAATCTTGTTTTAAAAGACATCACACAGATGTGGTGCCAAATCATGTTTTAGCTATAACACAAGATAACAAATTCTGAGTATTTACTCCATTCAAGAAAAATTAATTTTATGGGTTCAAAATGTATTTAGAGTTAAATAATTAGAATATTAAGAATAATGCTGCTCAGATGTATTTTAATTTGCATTTCTCTGTAACTAACAAGGTTTTCAAAATAATGTTTTTGAATCAAGTGTTTCATTGGCTTTGCCCACAATTGTCTTCTTTAAATCCATAGTTTAAAAATACATAACATCTGCAAGCCTGACTTTTAACAGCCCCTAGCTAAGAGGTGTAAACAGGTGTGGGAATGTTTCTCAGATTTTTAAACAAATCAGAATGGAAGAGAGAAGGAAGATGAAAGAGGAAGAAAAAGAAGATTCGGTGACTGGTAGAAAAAAACATGCACACACAGTAAAGTCTGTTGAATTGTTAGAAATCTTTCTGTTTTCAACTCCCCTGTCCTATGTCCCATTCAGTGATACATTAAAATATTACATTAGCACTTCATTTCTCTGTGTTCTTAACCATGCCCCTGTCCTGCACAGAATCACACCTACACCTACAATCTTCCTAACATGCAAATAACTTGGTAGAGCTGTTCTTTAAACCTCCCGTTCATAAATCTAACTCTATTTTTCATTGACTTGGGACACCAGTAGCATAAAATTTGGTACTGGAGCAGAAAAAAGGACCTGAAAAGATCTGACCTTGAACTAGCATTGACCTTGCCCAAAGTGTTTCAATTCCTGTTCATGCCTCATTGAAGAACAAATCTATAGACACAAAACAAATAAAACACAACAGCACATGTGGTGTAAGATGGCATGACTTACTGAAAAGAGTATGGGATTCACATGTTGCTAACCCAAGCTGGATTTGAAAGCAGGCCATGCCACCTAGTAGCTATATA